AGATGGTAGCATTTGATTTTATCCATCCAACATTACCATGATTTTTTCCAGCAGAATATTTCATACCAGATTACAGACCTGAATGTGAGTTTGAATATTTTGAATTCATGTTATCTTTAAAGTCACAATGTAACAGAAGTAGCAACAGAAACAGATCATCAAAAAAGGGAAAACATTATATCCAAAGGTTGTTGATTTGATGTTGATTGTAAGAAAAGGCGAGGTTTAAGCAGACTAGATGACTGGAGAAATTACAAAAGAGAAGTCAGTCAGTTTCACATCCAGTATGACATTTTGATAAATTACTTAGAACTTAGACAGGGAATTGCATTTCATGCCGACTTTAAGTGCATCCTACTAGTTCTTCTACAGCACTATGAACTTACAGGGATCCTATCTTCAATGTTGAGTTCCCTAGTGTGAGGAGGGGAGGCAGGTCTGGAAGTCCAGTAGGGTGCATAATTATCAACCTCAAGACTCACTACAGAAGAGGTGGCTCCCACTGATGCTCGCATTCTCTGCTCGCCATGGCAACTGCCTTGAGAGCTAGAGAGAGTGCTGCTCATATTGAGGCTTGATGACACGTCACTGAAGCGACCCAGACTGAGGAGAGGAGACATCTTGACCGAGATTTTATCCATGTGAGGAGCTGAGCTATTCCTTCCTTCACCCCTTTCACCTGAAACTAAGGACAACTGATGGTCAAACGATCTGGTAACAGGAATTATGTCATTAGATTGTGCCACTAGAACTTGCTGGCTGTGTGTACCTGTGTCTCTCTGAATAGAGGTCACCACAGAGCTCAGGGAGGAGTGAGAGTGTGAGCGATTGACAGGTGACTCAGATGCTTGTCCTCTACACACATCCACTCGACGGGGTGAGCCGCTTCCAGAATGAGAAGAGGAAAGTGGTTGAGTCATCTGGGAGCTGGAATTAGCACCAAATGTCAGACGCGTGTCTCGAGAAAGCATGTGATTAAGTGTGTCAGACACCACACCCTGTGCTTTTTTCTTGGGTGACACACCATCAAACCCCTGTAGAGCCAAATTATCATAAAATGACCTGCTAGAACTTTGATTGGCTTTCCAGGCATCTACTTTTTGTAAGTAGCTCAAACTGGGAAGAGAGTGTACTCTCCCATGGGCCAAAGGAGGGACCTTATCTTTTAACATTGCACCAGAGTAAAAGTGCTGAGTGTTGAAGTGAGGTGTATCAGAGGCCTGTGGATTTAAATCAGGAGTAGAAACTTGTTTGTTTGAAATGGGATGGGCATGTGACATTGTTTGCACAGTCTCTGAAGGTCCACTAGGAACTGTAGCTGTTGTTTGAGAGTGGATGGGAAAGGAATGTTGATCTCTTAGGTCCAACGATGGAATTAAGCCAGTTATGGAGTGATTGTTTTGGGACGATGTAGCCACAGAAGCAACAAGCTCAAGTTTGGAGTGTATGAGTGAGAGTTTGGTCAATGCTGGTGGGGGTCTCACAAGAGGTAGCGCAGGTGTGGACTGAGACACAGGCTGAGAGCTCAAGAATGAACCATCTGCTGCTGTTAGATGACCGGAACTCCAAAGCGCTCTCTGCAGATCTGGTACATGCATCACACCTTCACCAGTTGGTGAGACACATAGTCCACTATGAGAGCTTTTGTTCCCACTATGGTGCCTACTTGCTGGTGCCGAGATGGAGCCTCTTTGTCCTGCAGACAGAAGCTGATCATGGAGATGGTCAGTTGTTTGGTGTGAAAGCATCCGTGAGCCATGAAAAGTTATATTTGACACATCTACAGCCTTCTGAAATGAAGATGATAATGACAATGAGCCCCCTTGGGGCTGATCTCTGCTTTTTTGAAGATTCATGGAAGGATCTGACTGGCTTTTGTTTGTGTTTTGGTGATTTGAGGCAGATTCAGATGCAGAAGAAATGGCACTGCTGTCACTAAAAGCCACAATAACATCCTTGTCCTTGAACTCTAATAAGAGCCGAGCAGACATTCCCTCACTAAGCTGCTCTGCAATGGTCTGCTCCTCTCCTTCCATATGTCTGTTGATTTTGTCCTCAGCACCATATGAAGAACTCCCGTGGTCCTGATGGTCTCCAGGTGACAGGCTGTGCTGGGACAGTGAACAGCAGCTTTTATCACCCACCAACGGGTGCTGGGAAAGTGCAGCCTGGTCATGAATAGTATTTTGGAGGTGGGAATCATCAGTTACAGCTACATTTGAAGTCTTAGGGCATCTCTCAGACATAACCGAGAAATCAGGAAATCCCCTGTGTACACAAAAAAAGAGAAAATATTATCTAAAAATACAAAAAGGTAAAGACAAATTTGAACATGACTAAACAAACAATACCGAAGAGGGACAAATTCTGCATCTGTATGATGAAAAAATGTGGAGTCAGAAAGAAGGTGAGATTTGTCCAGGCAGGGAAGCAGGGTAAGTGCAGGTGACAAATGGCTATCCTGAAACTCTGAAAAAGAAAATAAATTTAATTATATATATAATAAATGTAATTATAGAAAAATCAAAAGAAACACATTAGGAGCTAACTTGCTTTGTGGCATGAAGTAATGTACAGTGGATTTCAAACTTCTGAGAAATTATTTTCCCCCCAAATCCAAAAACTGCTTAATTACAGTTTTAAATAAATTTGAATCCCTGATTTTCAATGTGATCTCAGATCTTTGAAGCCCACTGTATAAATACACCTGCTCTCTGTACCTAGTTGCACCGAACTTAGGACTCACAATGATTTACCAGAAGGTAGTAACAGTCCATCTGTGTACGGTCTGCCAGCCTCTGAATCATGCATACTTTGTCCATGCTGCTGGCAGATGATCTCTGCAGGGGTCTGGAAAGGTAAAAACATACTTATTAAAAGGAACTGGTCTGAGATTATGTTTTTGTGTGCCTGACAAATTACCAGTGACCTGATAAGGACATGTCAACCTGTTAGTACATCTAAACTTGAGTGTCTGCAAGAATGCTCCAACTTTTAATGGTTGCAAGAGAAGTTTAAGATAGCTCAAAGAAGTTCTGTGGGTACTTTCATGGTCCTCCACATTGGCACAGCCTAAAAAAATATGTAGTAGAGTGTCCAGACACAAACTCGACAGATTCTCTGCAGTTTCTCAGTTTCATTGTCTCTGATAATAAAGTCTTCTGACATCAAAACCTCAAGACTCCGAGAGTGATTTCTCACAGAAGCGGCAGAAGCCACCACATTTCCATCCTAAGTCCTCGAAGAATAGTTGACCCAAAAATGTTTACTTGTATGGCCTGAGGGTAAATTTTCATTTTTGGGTGAACTATTCCTTTCAACTGTATACTTAGCTGAATTTAAGATAGTCAAATATCTGATTTATGTTTTCATTTATTTCTATATTATCAGACCTATAACCACTGTACTCGAATTTCCTCTTCGTTATATACTTGATTTCTCATTGTCTCATCTACCTGAATCACACTGCATTAGGAATACACATTTATCTAAGCATCTTGTACAGGCGCATCTCAATAAATTAGAATGTCGTGGAAAAGTTC